ACTTCAATAATTACACGTTATTAAAAATTATTCAAAAAAGATTGAGTATAGCCTAGGATTCACTTTGTCTTAATTCATCAAAAAAGTATTCGAAACAGCAAGTATAGGAATCCATGAAATACAAAAATTCTACTCTACATTGTACTTTCAATGTTATTAAATAACTGACATTGAAAGTACAATGTAGAGTAGAATTTTTGTATTTCGTGGATTCCTATACTTGTTGTTTCCAATACTTTTTTGACAAATTAAGACAAAGTGAATCTAGGGCTATACTCAATCTTTTTTGAATAATTTTTAATAACGTGTAATTATAATACTTAAACATCATGTATACTTAAAATATTTGTGCATTACAAGCACACACCATGGCCATATATATATGGTCTAAAGAAGTATTTTTACACTTATCTACACAGCCAAGAATTTTACTTTGAATCATGACTGATATCAATCAGGATCAGCCTTGATACATTCCTGTATCATGGATTTTGGGCAGCCTGCAAAGCAATCATCCATGATACAACCATGCTGGAGTACGGCCCTGGCTCAGCCAGAGCAACAGACATGATTCAACATTGATGATAGTCTGGGCTGTATCAAAACAGACATCAGGCCTGAGTCATTGATTTTGGGTAGTGGCCTGTATCAGAGATGATAATTCTTGGCTGTGTATACGCTTCTTAGAGGTGTGGCTGAAACCTGTAAATTACAATTTAGAGGCCCAAGCCTTCACTTCACTACTACATGTAATAATAGTTCTGTTCTGTATAGGCTTTATAGATAATTATTATGGTAGTTTTTTTTACTTTTCTCGAATGTTTTGCTATTACAGATCTAGGTGTGGCTGTAGGTATGGGCTTTCCCCCTGTCTCTTGCATGCTCTCAGTCCTGTAGCCTAGGATACTTATTTCAATTCAGTCATGGCTGGTGTATTTCGAGGTGTATTTCAAGATGATGCCAATCTACACAAGTTTTGTCACGATGGAAAAATAGAAAAGATAATGGTAGGTGAGCCTCACCTTGTTTCTTCCTGCACGACCCTTCTCTTTATGTGCATGACATAGTTAATCATGTCTTGGATCAACTAGAGTATCTGTCACCCCTATACCCGTGGTATAATAGACTAGGGGTGCTCTAAAATTAAAAAAAACTAAACCCTAAACCCTATATGTATACTGAACAATGTAGCTAACTATGGGGCTCCTAACATAACTAAGGGGCATAGCTAACCAGGGGACTTTCTGTATTATTTTTTTCTTGTAGGATTTTGTTGCCACTGTAGAACCTGAAATCCTTCTTGATCGACTCAACAATCGAAGAGGTATTTCTGGTTACACTCCTCTTCATGAAGCTGTCTCCGGCAACAGATACGAAGTCATTTCGTATCTTGTTGAACTAGGTGCTAACGTTAATGCCAGGGCTAATTTTGGCTATACCCCGCTTCACCTTGCAGCCAGTGCTGGTCACATTGAGTGTGTCAAAGCATTACTATATTGTTCTGCTGATATCAGTCTTATTGATAGCCGTGGTAAAACTCCAAAACAGACAGCTGACCTGAAAAAAAAGTCAAATGTAGTCCGACTTTTAAGGAGTGAAGGTCAGTTTAAGCATAGATATAGACTAATCAAATTTATATGTAATTTTTACCTTTTTAAAAAAATATTACACACGTTTCCTGTAATCAGCCCTGCTAACATGTTTTTGTTCTGTATTGGAGTTAGTAGCATGCATTTCATAAAATTTGAATGCTTTTTAATGCTGGAAATTCTCCTAATACCTTAATTTGCTAGATTATGTCATGTTAGTTTCATGTATATTCCCATACATTGTTGGCCTCGCCCAGCTTTTTTTGCTTTTAGTGGTGCATAGGCAGTAATTAAAGTGGTCACTTTATCTGTGTATGTGTGCCTGTGTATTCACTTTGTGAGCTTTTCTTGTAGAGTTCTTGGAGTCTTAATTATAATCCTCATTGCCTCTCAAAAAAGTTATTCCCTGTCTCAGTTCACACAATCTCTTTTGTGGGTAGAGCAAAATGGCAATAGAACATATGAACCTCAATTCTAGTCCTAGTTCTGGTTCTAATTTAGCCAGTTTAATTCACTATGTACTGGAATCATCTTGGTGACGGTATGCACTTTAGTGCTCTCATTTATTACTGAGATCTATTTTCAGTTACCTTTTGCCCTTATATGGAAGTAAATAGCATGGGTTTAGATTATATAAAGTTTTGTTCCTCTATCTCTCTTGCCCCAAAATCCACAATACATGTACATGCAATACGATCTTATCTAAATTTATTTTTAACTTATAGAGATCATTAAAGAAGCGAAGACAAAAGGTGATAATCTCACTGAGTTACTTGAAGTCAGAATAGATGATTTGGAGCCTCACTGCCTTGAGGATACGCTCACAGCTGCTGTTGAGGTTGGGAACCAGTTAAATGTTGGGAAACTTATCATCAAAGGTGCCACAAACATCCAACAAGCTCTGGATGATTCTAAACGACTGCAGAAACACGAAGCAAGGGCCATGCTCTTACTGGTCATTGCTGCACAGACAAATGACAGGGACTTGGTCCTTAAGCTGTTTGATGCACGAATACAAAGAAACGCATCACATGTAAGTGAGGAATAGAGAGGTTAAAAGCCAAATTGTTTGAGGGACATGGCAGCCTAACCTAGACATCACACTATAATCACACACACACACAGGGATAAATTTTACAGCAATTTCAATTTTTAGCCAATGGCCAATGATGATGATTTTTCTGAAGTCCAGAAAGCCGTCATAAGTGGACGTGTCTCAACTATGGTTCCAATAGAGATAGCACGACGCCATCAGAACCCAATTGTACGAGAGGATCTTCTCCTGAGGACTAATGTGAACCAGGAAGAGGGTTCTGTCTATTGGCATGGCCTCCGTCTACTTGAACTTGATCTCTCTTGGATCCGTAAGATACACTGGGTAAAGAGACTGAGACTGGCTAGGAATGGATTCCGAGCCATCCCAAACGAAATTGGAGGCTACTTGAAACAAGTAAGAGACAAACCTATGCATAATAAAGCATGTATTTGTACATCATCATGTAATGATGATGTGCTGTCTACAAAAATTGAAGTATTACCAGTAATTGTAAAAGAGCAAAAATTTATTATGTACTCTAGGCAAGGGTGAAAGTTTATTTTAAATATAGTGGGTAGCAGCAAGCTTCTTAACCTTCTGTATTGCCCTCTCTCTTCAGGTGGTAAAACTAGACCTCCAGCACAATGAATTGGTTACTGTCCCACACTGTCTGTTTGAGTTACCCAATCTTAATGAGCTCAATCTGAGCAATAACAAGCTAATTGAGATACCTGATGTACACGAGTGGTCCCCTGGTCTCACTGTCCTGAACCTCTCCTCTAACGAGCTCTCTAGTCTACCAGCTGACATTGTCACTCCTTCTATTAGGACTCTCAACATTAGTTATAATCATTTCTGTACTGTCCCTCTCTCTGTCTGCTCCTTTATGAGTCTCCAGCACTTGAACATCAGTTTCAATCGAAATATACGTTCTCTGCCGGTGGAGATGGGTCGATTGCAGAATCTTATCAAGCTTGTTATTGATGGACTCAAATTGAGAGACCCTCCTCGTAATGTGCAGCGTGATGCCAGGGACTGTGTACGATACCTCAACAGTAAGCTACGCTCCACTCGTAGGTTTTACCGAATGAAACTCATGCTGGTAGGGAAACAGAACCGTGGTAAGACAACACTGGTCACCCGTTTACAAGGACTTGACGTCAGTATCAACCAGTCGACTGTTGGGGTTGATGTGAGCGAGTGGCATTACGCTGGGGGACTGGGACGTAGGAAGTACCAGTTTAGTATTTGGGATTTTGGTGGTGTGGAGAAGTACTACGCAACACATCAGTGCTTCCTTTCAGAGCGATCCATGTATCTGTTGCTGTGGAACGTACAGCATGGGGAGGAAGGTATTCAAGAGTTGAAACCTTGGCTTGATGCTATTGCACTGAGAGCTCCTCGCTCTTGTGTCCTTATTGTTGGTACTCATCTTGATTGTGTTGAAGAAAGTGATCGTCCTGAAGTGGACAAGCTCCTTGGAAAAGTTGCTGAACTAGCACAGACCTATCAGAACAAGCTATTGGTACCAGAGGTACTAGCAGTTGGTCTAATGAACCGTTTGGAGAATATCAGGACACTCAGGGAGGCCATATACAATCAAGCAACAGAATACAGAGGAAATAGAAGTCTGCCAATAATGGGACAAGAAATACCAGCCAGTTATTTTGAGCTAAATAAAGAGCTTGAGAAGGTACAAGAGGAAGTCAGGAAAGGTCTGAGAGCCCCCGTCATGAATGCAGCTCAGTTTAGGGAACTTGTCCACAGGCTCAATCTTCCTGATATATGCAGTGATGAGGAGCTACGCACTGCCACACTCTTTCTTAATGACATTCGTACTATACTCCATTATGATGACAGGAGCCATGCGATCAATGAGCTTTATTTTATTGACCCACAATGGCTCTGTAAAATCATGTCTCAGATTGTAACAGTCAGGGAGAAAAACCCCTTTATTAAAAATGGTATACTTCACAGTAGAAATGTTCCATTTATATTTTGTGACCCGAGATTCCAGTGGAAGTATTTTGAGCAATACCTCAGTCTCCTTGATCGGTTTGGGATTGCCCTCCCTTTGGACAATCGCCAGATCCTAATCCCCTCCATGCTCCCAGACAAGAGGCCAGAGAAGGCTGATATACCAGACGATAAGTCTGCTCCTTTTTACATTCGCTTCATTAATTTCCAGTCTTCAACCCCGCCAGGATTCTGGAGTCGTCTTATATCTCGTATAATGCATACAGTTCCTCAGGTTTGCAGGGCACTGGATGTTCTAGCTGATTACAACAATGAGACTGAGTCAACTGCTGACGAGGATACCATACCTGGGATACCTCCTGCGCCTAACGTAACTGATGAAACGTCAGCTCAAATGATCAGCTCACCTGTTCTTTCTCCATCATCCAACCAGTTCCTCCTTCCCAACATTAACCGTTTTATAGTGGATGATGATGATGCAAAGCCACTCAAACCAGAGGACATTGAGCTCCTCTATTGGAAGAACGGTATAGTTTACAAAGGCCCAGATCTTTCATTTGGGGTTGAGTCTTTTAGGAAATCAAAGGTCCTAGCTCGTATAAATGGGGACAGCATCGTTATCCTTGCCTCTCCAAATAGTAAAGGCACAAAGCTCATTTGTCAGTTGGTTGATATTATCCTCAGCCTCATACATGAGTGGTATCCCGGCCTGGAGGAGAATAATGTGAACTCTGGTGTAGAGCAGAGGGTACCTTGCTATGAGTGTCGTAAGCTTGGACGTGAGAAACCCTTCGAGTTTAAAATAGATCAATACATGTCAATAATCACTAGCAGTAGACCTCAGATTGAGTGTGGATATGAGAGAGATGCAGCGAGGAATCACAAGGTCTCTCTGGTTGATATCATACCTGACTTACTCCTCCAAGACTTGGATGCTGATTATCTGCTCAAACCGGAAGAGATCAAATTTCAAGAGGACAAGGACTCCCTCTTAGGAGAGGGAGGGTTCGGTAAAGTGTATAGAGGAAAGTGTCGTGGTAAAAGTGTTGCTATAAAGAAGTATCTTACAAGAACAGAAGAGGCTTTCAACGAGTTACGCTCTGAAGCTAAAGTACTGCAGGAATCCCATCATCCTTTTCTAGTCTGTCTTGTTGGTGTGAGTGTTCACCCATTGATGGCTCTTATACTAGAAGAGGCTCCAATGGGATCCTTCGAGAGGCACCTCATCAAGAAATCAACTCCAATCCCGAGACTTACAATGTTCCGTATTGCTGCTCAAGTGGCAGCTGCTCTACGCTTCCTACATCAACATGGGATCATATTCCGTGACCTCAAAGCAGCCAATGTCCTCCTATGGTCACTGGATGAGACTTCACTCTGTCACTCAAAAGTTACCGATTTTGAAATAGCAACACACCTGTCACCAGTGGGTATCAT